GTGATGCATGTTGAATGTGTGAATGAGTGTTGTGGCAGGAAACTGGGACTAGTACTTCAAATCCTTTTGGTGGCTGAGGGTAGAGAGCAGAGGCCACAGTCACATTCTCACCACTTGGGGGTCATTGATGTCTCTGCAGGGAGAAGACTTCTTTTTAGGACCACTGAGTCAACAAATGTCTTAAAAACCAGGGGACTTTAAAGCAGGGCCCTCACATAAGTACGGTTGACTGCCCCTGTGTTAGGTAAAGCCAGCACAGTCTAGCAGAATGTCTGCTGTGCTCTGCCTAGGCCTGCCCTCAGGTCTCAGCCTGATTTTTTCCCCCCTCTCAGGACTGAATGCAGCAATGTGGGCTGCATATTGTAGCTTCCTTAGAGTTGGGTGTGTGAAGGGTGAGAGTGTTGGATAAAAGCTTCTGAGGTCTCAGAACAGGGCAAGGAGGTACGTGTTAGCCTGATGATAAAAACACCCACAGCTGGTGCCAGCTGCCTCAACAGGTTGAGAAACCATCTTTATTTAAGAACTGCCTGCTACCAGAGTCAATAAATAACTACCATTACAAGAAGTAACAAGAGAGAAACAATAGGCCAGTGGGAGTGGTTCCACTTCAACAAAAACGGGGTTAAGTCGGTGTCTGGTGAAGCCAGAGCACTTGCTGAGCCATGAGCTTCGCTAAGCTCTGCAAGCCCTCGACGGGGTGGGTAAGTTGGAGTTGGGGGGCCCAGGCAGGATGCACCCCATCTAAGGTCATTAAGTGCCTTAGGTCCCTAAGGCGGCCTGGGACTCTGGGCAAAGCCATCTGACCCATTTTGTTCCTCTTGAGTTTTTCTTTATTGTCCTGCCTTCCTAAAGCCCATGACCATATTTACAAGTCCATGGGGTGCCCCCAGTCTCCAGGCACCTGTTTCCGTGATGTCTCTTAGAAAAAGTGCCCATCTAATCCTTCTCATGCTGTCCCAGGAACCTCTTTGGCAACCCCTTCAGACCTGGGACGAAGCCAGGTTAGGTCCGGCCCTGGGAGGAAGGGCACCACACCTGTGCCAGTGAACACAGGTTGGAGGCTACTGCTATCCCCCCTACACAGAGAAGCCCCATCAGCAGCCCCATTCTGAGCCCAGAAAAGATTCCTCTGTAGCTGGGGAAGAGGATAAGGGAGTTAAACATTCTTAGCTGTCTCGGGCTCTTACCCAGGGTACAGGCCACATGGTTCCTGGGACTGCTAAGAGGCAGTGTGCGCTGGGAAGAGCACTGGGTTGTAACTGAAACTTCCAGGGTGAGCCTTCTCCCTTAATGGCTCCCGCTAAGATGCAGTGTCACAGCAGATGGGATCCCCAGGACTCTTCCTGTGCTGAACACTTTCTGACTTTGAGAATCCCAGCTCTAGAAGGACACTCGCAGCATCTCCTATCCTCTGGTCATGACTTCGCCTAACCCAGACCCCACGCCAACCACGGTCACAATGTCTCAAAAGACCCTAGAAAAGGAGCCTCTTACTCATTCCAGGATCTCATTGCAGAAGTTTTTTCCGATGTCTAACCTCAGTCTATCCTGTTGTTACTTTACCAAAAGACACCCCCTCCCCCATGGCCGCGCCATTCCCTGGCACCATCTGTATTATTGGCTGCCCTGACCTTGCTGGGCCCTCAGACTCCATCTGGAGAGAGCTGCCCTCCCCGTGAGGGCGAAGTATACATCAGGACTGTTAGAGCAACAAGGACCAAATAGCCAAGACAAGGGACAAAGGGACCTGTAAGCTGAGCCCAAACGTGTGCAGAATGGAGGACACTTGTCTCCCCGGGCCCTGAGGAGGTGTCTGCAGGCGGTCTCTGTCCCTAGTCCTCCAGGCATTTACTGGCCACTAAACTGTGGGACAAAGTACTTGTTTGTGGCTGTCCCACTTGCCACTTCCTCTGGGATTTGGTGTGTGAGAGAGAAGAGAATCCAGAGCTGAGTCATGACCACAGCGGGAATGAGCCACACTCTGCAGGGAGGGACTCTGAGAAGACCTCTCATCTAGTCTTCTCCTCCGAGCAAGCTCACATACAAGCCACCCCAGTCAGAGGCTACTCCTTGTTACAAGCTTACATGTCCTC